GCGCCCCAGGGGGTGTGACGGGGGGGGTCCTGCCGGTGGAAGGATGCTCCAGAGCAGGACCAGCTCCAGGCACGTGTGGCCAGGGGGATGCAGGACCCCCCGGCTCACAGCTCCCCACCTCGGGGTGTTAATGCCTTATGGCACCTCCTGCACAGGGTGTTTTTGCCAGCTCAGAGCCTGCTCCCCACACGCTGTACAACGTGTCCGGGACACGAGCAATTACATCCTGTCATCCAGGGCTCGTTGCTCCGGGCTCTGCGGCGCGGGTGGAGGTGGCCCCAGCAGCCACGTGGGTCTGGTGGGGTGAGGAGGGGGACACCAAGACCAGGTTCAACAGAGCCCTTGGCTCCAACACCAGCACCCCTGAAGCACCCGAGGGGGGACCAGCTCTGTGAGAAGGAGACAGGCTCGGGCAGCACAAACCATGGGGAAGGGCAGGTCTGCTGGGTGAGGAGCACGCAGCAGGATGGGACCCTCTCCCCTGCCTGGGTTTAGCACTAAGGTGGATGGAGCAATGCAGTGCCCAAGCCTGACCCATCGGGACCCAAAGGAGCAGAGGATGCCAAGGGAGCACCTCGCTCAGTAAAGCTGCCCGTGCTCACGCACTGGAACAGGCTCCCAGCCGCTGTAATTACACACAGTGTTAATTTGCTGTTCAACTGAATCCATCACCCCTTTCACTTGCTACTGAAGGGAAAAACCCCTCTGCCTGTGCCCTGGTGTCCTTGTGGGCAGACCCCCCGTCAGACAGGAGCTCAGCACTAACCACAGCCCTTCTGGACACGGTTCACACCTCCATCACCATCCCCTGCAGCTCAGGCTGACCCACAACCACCCCCAGCCCATGGCAGAGGGGTCCTGGGGATGCTGCTGTACCTGGATGTTGTCGAATGATGCTTTGTTGGTGACATCGTAGAGCAGGAGCAGGGCTGCGGAGAGAGGGACGGTGCATTAGTGCCGGTGCCATAGTGCCGGTGGGGCAGAGCCCATGGCTCAGAGCCTGCTCTGCACTGGTCCCCGCTGTGGGTCACGCCTGGGGACGTGGTGTTAGAGCACCACTGAGCCCCCTGATGTAAAATACACAGCAAAATATTAAGCCTGTAAATACCAATCCCTAATGGCAACGCCTTGGACTCTGGTGTCTGCACCTCGGCGTGCGGAGGCTGCTCCATCCTTGGGGGCTGCTTCTCATGGGGAAACCACC